TCGCTCGCTCGCTCGTTCACCATCCCCCTGCTTCCCTGCCTCTCTCCCACGCCACCCTCCATACGGTAGCATCGACCGTGCCCAACCCCGCGATTCTTCCCCTTCTCACCCTCGCGTCCACCACGCACAGCCGCCGCTTTCTCCCCGTGGCTTTCCTTTCTGTTGCTCCAATAGCTTTCTTTCTCTCTTTCTCGTTCTCTTATTCCCTTGTCTCTTTTCCCCTCTCCGTCTGGCTCTCTCTTTCTCTCTCTCCTTCTACCTCCATCTACGCCCCATTCCGACTCCAATATTCAATTATTGGCTACGTGAACGCTCGCGAGCCGCTCGCAAAAAGCGGGAAACGAAGTCGCTTACGGTTTCTGCGTGCACACAAACGGACGAGTGTATTTCACTGCCCTCCTGCGACTCTGACTCGTCTGGCTGCGTGTGACCAAGAGGAGAAAAATAGAGAGACAGAGAGGAAAGATAGGGAGAGAGGAAGGGTTGGTCGGCGCAGGTACATAGCCAGGAGGGTGAGACGGCGCGCTTCTCCTGGCAGAAATCTGAAACAAACGAGCAGCGTTCCGTCCGTCGTGGCTTTCCGTGCAAATGCGATCGTGCGCCGGGTTCGCGGAATGGGCACGGTGCTCGCTGTGTGACACGCAATGCTTCAAAGAGCCCAATCGAGCCAGTCGTACTTAGATTGAAACGCGACGGCCGGAGTGCACGCCCGCGAACAACGAACTCGTGGTATTACGAGATGCAATCTCTCGGGGGCTTGATACTGATGTTTACGTAGAACGCCAGCTGTATAACGAGGACTCGACGGCTGGAGGATATATTGGTCGAACGAATTACTTTCTCCATTTCGACTATCGCGGAAATTTTCCAGGGAATTTTTTCACGCGACTTCTCCAATTTCTTTCGTAGCCCTCATACAGCTTCTCGCTACAAATTCGTTTTTTACAGGCCGTTCGATACACACGATCGCGGCATAAGTGGCGAATCAATGGCAAAAAGCACAAGGACAGACTCCCATGACCGGGTTCTTTTTTCTCGACGAGAGAAATTAACCCTCTAAACGGCTATTAGAGTCGGGCGGTGCGAGCGTGCGCGCGCGCGTTCTCTGAGAATAGACGATCTAATTCCGTGGACGAGAGGAAGCGAGGAACGAGCTGATGGAGCGGGGCGAGGCGAGAAAGACGGACCACCGTGATTGCAATTTTAACGCCAATTTGACTTGAATCTTCTCCGCCCGAAAGAAATACTGTTTTCATGCTCAATATAGCGGCTCGCTAATAATTAACGGCCAGCTCGTGCCGCTTTACAGGGTGTCTCGATGTCGCAGGTTCTCTCGAGAGAGCTACTCGGTTATTCGCAATCTTTGAGCATTGTCAATTTGGACAGTTGAACAGGTAGCATTTCTTTCATTACACAAAAGGAAGAACATTCTTGTTCTGAGAACAAGAATCTTTATTTTCTATACGTAAATCTTAAAATGAAATTACATAGCGTTCAATGAAGATGGATATTTGCATCAATACATTATATATGATATAACAAAAAAATATATTTTTGTTATTAATTAAAGCAAAGTTGTTACTGATATTGTTGCCTAAACGGTAAAGTAATTTTTACAAATGGAGAGATTAATTAATTAATTTAGTAAATAACTAATAAAAATTGAAATGTTATCAATTTTGAAAAATATACTCACGAGTGGAAGAATTACACTATCATCACATTGTAAAAAATTTTATGTTAAATTTAACATATTTCACATATCACAATTTATTCACTCTAATTTTTGCTAATTTGACAAATATGCTAACAAATAACACAATCCACTCGTACACTTTACATATAAAATATGTTACTAAAGAGATATGTTATATATAGATTGTGTTATTTTAATACTCGGAATGTATTTTAACACTTAGAAATAGTATGTAAAAATATGTAAAGTATGTAAAAATATAAATTCACTATTATATTCAAAATGATACTAATTGAATTTTGTATACAAAGAAAATATTTTGGTAAACATTACGTTCTGATTATATTCTTCATTTTAGAGTGTTTTCTGTAAAGTTAAACTATATATACTGACACATTGTAATATATATTACTATAGAAATAATAAATGTTATGATCTACTCTATACGATATAAAAAATATTCAGTTACAATAATTTTATTTCGTTGTGATTTTTACAACTTCCATTGTAATTTTCAAGCAAATTTCGTTATAACTTTTACTACAATTTTCCCCCGTGTAAATAATGAAATGACAATAGATGAAATTGTAAACACGACAAATAAGTAGAACGCTCGATCGTTCTAGAAGAAGTGCCGATGCATATTGACGATCTTATCAATATTATCTGCGATACAGAGCTTATTTTGCGGAAAATGAAGAAGGTTTGAGCGAAATTCTGCGGCACACCGAGTACGTGTACCGAGTAGGTCTTACGGTGCTAGCGGGTGGTCCTCATTATGTCGGGTTCCCCACTGCTTACCCGTCCTATCTATTTAACGTATCGTTTGCCTTGGTAACCATCCAAATTAGCCCATCCTTTTCTATCCCGCGGCAGCGGCATCTTCCGATCTCGCTCGTGTCCTCCTTAATTATTGGGAGGACGATGTATAATAACGACGATCCGGCCTTTGCCGTCACGGTGTGCTCTAATCGAAAACACTCGTTTCCTGCGAAATGTTACGTTGCATTTTGCGGAACAGCGAACGTTGGCTGTTTTATTTAGAGAAACACTATCTGTCATTAAGAGAACGTTATCTGTTACAAGCTCTGGTAGCGACAGTTGCATATGAAAAAAGAGAGAAATTAAGATCGATATAATTCTGATAAATTCAATTACGTAAAATAAATTTTGTTTTTAGGATTTAAAAGCAAAGATTAATAAAAACATGCGCAGATATTATTGCACAAAATATGTGTTTTTTTTCATAAAAATAAAAATAAAGATAAGTATGTATTATCAAATTAACAGAGTTGGATGAATAACTAGTTAATCAGCTAAAAATTAAGTTAAATAGTTAATAACTTTCAATTTAATTGAGTTAATTTTAAGTGAGTTAACTGTTTTAGCCTAAATGAGTTATTTTAAGATGCATTAACTTGAATTTATTTATTTATTTACTTTTTTATTTAAGCTAAATTAATTCATCGGTATTAAAATTATTGCGGACCATTTTCAATGTAGAACCAGAAAAATCAGAAATAATGCCGGTATCATTTTTTCCGTTTTCCGTTTCTGATGTTATTTTTTTGTTTGAAATACTGAACGCAAAATAGAACCAATATTTTCTTATAAACAAATTCTTATAAACAAACTCTTTCATTATTCCACATAAATTTAACTTATGATTAATAAGTTAATTATGCAGGAAACATATATATTGCTTGGCACAATTAACTTTAATAAGTTAATTCGACATAAACTTAACTTTTAATTAAGTCTATTTTTGTTTATGTAACTTTTAACTAGTTAGTTTTGTAAAATATTAACTTCAAATTGTATTTAAAAAAATATTAACTTACTCATTTCTGATGATCAAATGGATTAGCTTTGTTAATAAATGAAATTATTTTTTAAAGTTTGACATTATTTACATTGTTGAAACTTATTGAAGGTTTATTGAATTTTGATACGGCGGACACATAAATATTTTCGAGATACCGCGACGAATTGATATCAATTTTCGAGAAATCAACGCAGGAGAACGAAGTTACGACTCCGCTTCAATCGGACACGCGAATTTATCTTGGGCGCTGAGCGGGATAGATATGCTCGCGGAAGCGAATTTAAAAGTCAATGGCCTGTAAACATTAATGCCTCGAGTAACGAAAGATAGCGAAGTGCTTTGTGACGGGAGTTTATGAGCCCCTTTATTGCCAGCGTGATTTCTTCCCGATTGCCGAGCGTGCAGCCAGCGTAATATCGCCCTGTTGTAAGTCTACCGATTTAGCTCGCGGGAAAAGTTAACCGACGTCGAATCGTCTCTCCTACGTATCTTCGCTTCGTTACATACAACACACGAGTCCGAGATGATTATCGGCCGTTGAATAAAAATTATTCAGAAAAACGACCGGCACGCAATAGCACTGTTTATGCGAATAACAAAAAAGATGTTATTATTTGATAATTAGACAATATATAATCATAGAATCTATTCGATGTCTTATAATAATTAAAAAATTATATATTATTTATTTAGAATTCAGAATGGGATTACAAACATTTAGTTTAAAATAAATATTAACTAATGTATTGCAATATATATATATAATATATGCAATATATATACCAGTATATAAATAATATGCAGAGAGAGAGAGAGAGAGAGAGAGAGAAAGGGAGAGAGAGAGAGAGAGAGAGAGAGAGAAAGGGAGAGAGAGAGAGAGAACAATTTATTTTATTTAATAAATTTTATCAAATTAAAAAAAAATTATCTACTGGAATAGTCCAAGTAAACTAATTTCTAACTCAACAAGTATGCACTGAGAGAAAAGACTGGTAACTATAACAAACTGCATTTAGTTACAGAAATTCGTTGAATCCTTAGTAACTAATACTAAATATGATAATAATTACCAAATATTTAATAGATCGGAAATATGACGTAATTGCATTCACAGTAACATCAATTAAATAATTTAGTAATAGTTACTTAATATTAAATATTTAATATGAAATATATTATAGTTATAAACAGATATTTGATAATTGTTATGAAATTCTTATATCCCATGTAATAAAATATTCAGTACGAGTTCTATTTTGTTACCAGTATAAGTATGTTTTGTTGCAGCACAACGAAAAATTCATTTATTTGCAGCTATTACATCGTTTCAATATCTATTATTACAGATGGTTGGTTGAACCTACCAAACATTTTGTAACTGTTACAAAATCGCTTATTTTGTTCAACTATTCAATAAGTTTTATTTACCAGATATATTCTGGAAGCAAATAAATTTTACTTCTGTCAAATAAATAATTTATTTTACAGAACTAAATTAATTAATAAGTATTGCCATAGCTTTGGCCCGCTATATTTACGTCTACCATTTAGTAATAGTAACTAAATTTTGATAATATTTATTAAATTCTTCTCTCAGTGTGCGATTATTTAGCTTTTCAAGCAATTTTATTGTTTAGCTCAAATAATTTATGTTTTGTTTCAAAAAGAAAAGTTGTTCTACTTACATTTCTTATTGTATGAAAAAAAGTTCAATTATTCTATTTAAATAATCTTAAGATACTTGACATTTTTTTTTTCGAGTTCCTGGCAGTCTATTTTTTATCACTTCATCGTGTGCATCCTTCACTCCCCGTGATTTTCGATCCAAATTCTCCATTCTCGTTCCGTTAGAAAATACAATTTTGCAGCTTAAATATAAAATTTAAAAGTTTAACAAGAAAAATGCGCATAAATGCAAACGTATCAATCCTTTGTGATCATAATAACTCAATGATTTTGATTTCGACAACTGTGCTCGAGCTTTTTTCGACCATAAAGTTACATGCAGGAATACGGGGAGTCTGTAAACTTACATTCAAGCCGACTTCATTCAGTTCAAACTAGCTACTTCGGCATCCGTGTCCACTGAACGACATCCCTAGAAATCCCAATCTGCAAGACTTCTGACAGATTTCTGAGACAAGAAACAAGTTTCTTAATTAGTTTTAATCGATGAATGTCCTATGAACGTATTGAAAACAAGGAAAGTATACTTTCTAAACTTCTTGAAGTGGAATTTTACTCGAGAAGTAGAGCAACCATCGATTTATACTTGAATGATTTTTCTCACAGATAGAGTGAATTCTCCATTCTGAATTGTCGAGTGAATATTTCCTAATCGATTGAAATATTCGTTTATGTGAAGCCAGAATCCACTCTAAGCTTGAATGAAACATTCACTCTGACGACTTCGAGTGACAGTATTTTCACTCTCACTTCGAGTGAAAATACTATCACTTTTCCTTCGTTTTGAATGAGATTCCACTTCAAGAAATGTGGAGAGTATGTTGGAGAAGGTTATGTGCTCCAAGCTACACGTTTCTCTTTGAAACTAAAGAAAAAGAAAAGTGATGGTTACTCTGAAGACTACAGCACTGTAAGTCTCAGTATTATTGTAACACACCTTATGAAATGTCAAGACAACGCGTTCATTCGTGTTATTTTTATGTTACGTGTTATGAACACATGACAAGATAAACAGTCTTGTAATATGTTCATCAACTAATCAGCAATTTTGGAAGACAGGAAAACTAGAACAAATCGGCAATATAACTAATCCCTTTTTTGGAAAACAGGCAATGAGGTGGCACATCATTTTCAAGGCAGAGAATTGATAAATCTCATCTTCATCGAATGGAGAAACGCGCGTTGTTGATCGATCGTCTCAGCAGGCGCGCTTTCACGCAGATCATTAGGAATAACGAAACGATATAAATTTGTTGGCGCCGGGTGTGCGATATGTTTTCAGGAGGGGGCTTGACATCGATTCTGATAAAGCGGCGAAAATAGACGCCGCGCGGATTTCCGCGCGATGAAATTTACGGCTCCAGCCAATTCCGCGAAAATGGAAGAACGTCCGCGAGGTTTTATTCGGCCGCGGTGCTTTATCGGCACCCCTATCGGGACTCATTTGTTTTTGCTTATCGCGAAGTTACGTGACGGAGCAACCGTAAATATGACGGACGGGTGCGACGATGGGATCTCCGCGCCGTCAGAACGAACGCGCTCGCCACGGACGAGCCCCGAAAATCTCCCCGGCGCGCCGCGTTGCGCCCCGCGCCGCACCGCGCCGCGACGCGATGCGACGCGACGGCTCGATTTAGGGGTTGAACGTCGAGAGGGAAGTCTCGAGGCTGAGAGGGGTTGACGTTCGACTGCGAATCGATATACCCTGGCTACCTGCATGCGCGAACAAACCGTATCTCCGGACAGGACCGGGAAGAAATGGCCGAAATTTCGGGGCTTTCGTGTTTTCGCGTCCCCTGCGCGGCCGACGCGCGCGATCGCGATTTAATCTTCTCAAGCGTGATTTACGTTCGACGTGTTTTGTCCTATCTCAACCGAACGTAATTAAACCTGTACAATAATCGCGCTGCTTGTTGTAATTGTCGTGGCGAAATTAGTTGGAACGATACAGCAATACATCTAGTATAATAGAATGGCAATTGGATTAGTAATGATGTTTACAATAAGATTAATAAGCTGAAGAATAGAATAGAATACTGCTTTGTCGTACTACAAGATAAAATCCTTTTAGGACAGGCACAAAACATTAACTCAGACAATCGTCACGCAGAAAAATAAGATAAGTAATAATACATACAAAAAGAAAAAGAAAAATATATCATGAGAAAAATAAAAAATAAGAATAATAGAAATATAAAAACTCGCGAAGGATAAGATCTTAATAATGACGATAGGGGGATGAAATATGAATGACATCAAAAAGACCTGCAAGGAGAATAATAGTATCAAGACAATGAATTTTGGTTGTTTCAAAATTGAAAACAAATTGGTCAAATTCAAAAAAAGAATCCAAATGAAAGATTTTTTTAACGTTGCAGGTAGAGAATTCCAGTTTTTAATATCTGTTATTAAGAAGGATTTATGATAAACCGATGATTTGTGACATGTATAAATCATATCATTGAATAGAGAATTTTTCATAAACCTTGAAAATGAAAATGTGACTTGATACACTCTCCGCCTCCCAATAGAGACAATACTGTGTATATACAATATTAAATAGTACAGAATTAATAATAGTAATAATATTATATAGTATAGCATTGTGTTAATTCTCGATGGCTTATTTTTTTACTTGATGCCAAAAATGCGGAAATATGTAACAAGAAGAGATGTAATTTGCACATTGAAAAATAATAAGACAATGGACGCAAAGAGAGATTTCTAAATATTTTTATGAAAGTTTCATTAACGTGTCATACTGTAAACCCAATTGTGTTATTTTTAAAGACATAAACGCGTAATTTTTCTGAAGTTCGTTTTATACGTTTCTTGTGTTTTCAATCACGCCATTTAATACGTTTAAGACCTGTAAATTATAATTTAATGCAGTTAAAGTGTAAAATGACATGATTCGAAACGGTAAAGAACGTGTAAAAAGAGATTCAGCCAGCATAATATAATTAGATTTGCAGTGCACCTCGACAAGTCCAAACGTCATCACCTCTCGCGGCTTATCAGCAGCATTTAATACGCGGCGACAATTGAAAACTATCTCATCTACTCTCTTAATGTTTTTTTTTTTTCAATCTTAATCACCCCGCCTAATTGCTCAATTGCGCTCATTACCGTCTCCGACGTAGTAAAGCGAGCGGCGATTAAATCTCTCCCCTCCCCTCCCCACCCTTCCCTCGTCGTCGCGTCGTCCCTACCCTCGCCGCGGCGCTCGCGCTCCGTGACGGCGTGTCGCATTTGCACGAGAGAAACTTATCCCTCGCGCTACAAAAATCGCTGTATAGATAATTCCGCCTGCTCCTGCGACCTAGCCATGGGGCGGAGCGTCGCGAGGAATGCCCCTGCTGGTAGCTTCCAGCCTCGCCCCGTTTTGATCCTCTCCTTCTCACTCTGCCGTCCGGATTCCCCACTCTATCAAAGGGGCGAGCTCTCTTCCTCTAAAGAGGCACCTGCCCCACCATAAGCACCCGGTCGTGGGCAAAAGGAAAAATCAGGGCGGTGCTGGCTGAACGGTCAAACTCAGTCCACACGGAGAGCTCGGCTTGGCTAGAAGCTACCGGAGAGTCCTGGTCATCAGCGATCATTGATCCAAGGGACCTGTCAAACGCCGGACAATGTTCTTGGCGTAACGTCGATGTGCCTCCGCGCGTCGTTCTCTGAAGCTAGACTGTTGGCTGGCCCACGCTGGACTCGAGCTGACTCCGTTTCGCAAATTCCCGTGCGCGAATTAGTGAGGAATCGTTCGTGAAGCAGTGAACGCTACACACCGTTAAGCGTGTCCGATTCCATTGATCGCAGGATGAGCGGGTAGCTCATTTTGGGCTTAGACCCAAGATACTGGAACGCCGTTCCCGCGATCACGAGAGCAGTGCTAGTCGACGTACAACGTGCCCGACCGACGTTCGAGAATGACAGTACTAAGGATGACCTCGCCGGTGACGCCTGCATCGACCAGTCCCGACTCGTCAGACGAGGCTCAGGCGCTGCAGGCAACCGCCAGACCGACTCATCGATTGAGTTTCTCCGTCGCGGCCCTCCTGGCGGACACCAGGAAGACGTCGGAGCCTTCAACGACGTTGAACAGTCTGTTAATGTCAGCCAGATCGTCGCCGATCGTCTCGTACTCGCCGCTTCGACACGAGCCACGCGTCACCGTCAACTCGTCGCTGATGCTAAAGCATCCCTATGAATTCAAGACTTCCCGATACGCCCTGTCGTCATCACCCAGCCTCAATCAAGAGAGCAGGCTGACTCATTGCGCGTCTCCTCACGGTGCTTCGGATTCCAGAACGCCACCGAGGTATCCTGACACGATCGAATTCGACGGCAATGTCGAAACTACCAGCAGACGACTTACCTCAGCAAGTGTGGACTACCGCGTGCAACTGGGCACCGACACTAGGACCACTCCGGAACCCGTAATGGGTTGTTCCGCGTCCTCAAGGATCAGCCACCAAGACACGGGTTCACAATCACCCCGGAGTAGTTCACACGGCGAGACTCGCTCGAGATGTTCGGAAACGGATGATATCGAGGAAGACGACGAGAGCAGTTTGGTGGACGTGGAGGATCTTCAGAACCACGCATCCAGTCCGACTCCTGTTAGGCCAACGCCAGCATATCTCGGGGGATTTTCTACCCTCGGCGGCATCCCCGGTATCCCGCCTGGTCTTCATCCTGCGGTTTGGGGTGGCGGACACCAGAACGCAGCTGCAGCTGCTGCGGCGGCCGCCGCGGCGTCGGCCACGTTTTTCCCTTCGCACTTCTCTCATCACGCTCCTCTAAATGGTAAGTGTCATCCCAATTAACAATCCATCGCTTTCATGTCGAATGATAACGTGTTAGAGGCCGATCGACCGTTTCAGCGGCAATGTTGACAGCAATGTTCAAGATTTCGTTACTTTTCAAGCAATGTTGAAAACAATATTAAAAGTTTCATTGATTTTTGAACAATATTGAAAGCAATGTTGAAAGTTTCGTTCATTTTCAAGCAATGTTGAAGCATAGGCTGAAGAATTATTTAGTTTTCAAGCAATGTTGAAGGCAATATTGAAGGTTAGGTTAATTTTCGAAGAATATTGCAAGCAATATTAAAGATTGGGTTGGTTTTTTAGCAATGTCGAAGGCAATGTTGAAGGTTGGGTTAATTTTCAAGTAATATTAAAGGCAATGTTGAATATTTCATTAGTTTTAGAGCAATATTGAAGGCAACATGAATGACTACGTTAATTTTTGAATAACCGAAAACAATGTTGAAGGTTTCGTTAGTTTTCGAGCAGTTGAAGACTGTTGATGACAATATTGAAAATTTCGTTAAATAAGATTCTGCTTTTTCCGCAAGACAAGAAGGATATTTCATAATGTTTAAATGACGATAAATAATATCACTATATGTTGATCACTCCAGTTGATTACTTTGCTGAGCTATTGATTTTAGCAATGTTGTGTGTGGCAATAATCGTGACTAACAAGTATAAGTTTTTTTTTTCTTTGATCGTGCAAATTTAAAAGAGACGTTATTTGCAAATTATGAATCCCACAAATTTACTTTAAATTTTCAAAGTTTATTCACATACAGAACGTCAAACAGCACACGGAGAAAATATTGCAATAAAAATTACAACAAAGTTTTGTAATCTTGAATCATATATAGAATTTATGGTCTAAATTATTATATATTTGTTTTACAATATATTTATATATGTTCGACTTTCTACTACAAAATTATTGTAATTGTTCACATCTTTTATCTCGTAAATCATCAAAAATTCAGTAAATTATCAAATTTCTATAGCAATCCATACGTAAAAAATATTGTAGAACAAATTACAACAAAATTTGTATAATCTAGGACCATATAGATTTTTAATATTGTATATTCGGTAAATCGCCAACTTTACTTTTTCTATAGTAATTTATACTGTAATTGCAGCATAGTCCAGTTTTACAAAAAAGATTGTAAAGAGAAATGTAATTGCAAAGTAGCTTTTACGACAATATCTTCTTCGTGTATTATAATGTCCAGTTCCTGTACAGTAGTGTACAATCCAGTTCCATCGGAGGGGAAACGTTGTAAAATGAAATATAACCTAAACGTAATCTTTACTACGGTATCTTCTGTGCATTGCGCAAATGAACTTGTAATGAATGGAGTAAAGTTATAGAATTTCCATATCTCTTCTCATCTTTGTACAACTCGGAATGACCGCAAGTGCTTTATGACGCGCTTCAATCGATACGCGGACATGAACGAAACTCTCCGAATGTTCAAACCGGCTAACAGATATATAAATAACTACACGAATTGTAGAGGCGTGAATAAAACAGAAACAAATAAGTCGTATTTCGATGTTCTAATCTCAATACGTTGGTGATGCCAAGGTGGGGGATGCAGGCACCCTTTCGTCACTTCGAGGAGTGGATCTGTCCTATTCTAGGTATATTCCACGCAAAGGCTCTTTTAGAAGCAGCCCTCAAGTAGTCGTTATTTGTTCCGGCCTGAATTTTCAAGGGCCGAGCTATTTATTTGGCAGTGCGACGACGATTGTGTTTGGGATGGTCTTTGAGCTTTGGCGGAGCGCCAATCGCCGTCGTGTTTCTCAGCGAATTCTTTTCATGGTTCATCGCGGCTAAAGCGATTACGCGGTTACAAGCGCGGTTTACGGATGGTGATTTCTCGCCACTATATAGAATCGAGACAACTTGACTTCTTATCGATACGTAATATCGAACGTGACGATACTCTTGAGAACATAAACCTGGCAAAAGAATATCTCGCGGCAATAATCGAATGAGTGTACCTTCTGTTTACGATTTTACAGCCTGGAGTCTACTCGACGATTTGGCGATCTTTAACGACTCAATAATTGTCTAGAAGTTTCGGAATTGCATTTGAAGTCGCAATTAATCGAAACCATACAATAATTCAACTCTGCATAGGTGTAATTATCTCTGCGAATAAACAAGCCTCAAGATATCACCTCCAGAACGTATTAGCTAGGCAATCAGTGAGTTACAAAAGTCGATCGTCGGAGGAGTAACGCGCGTCATTTTACTTCGTCAAACAGCCGGCTAGAGACGCAGGGGCGTGGGATTTAATTGCGTTTTGCTCGTGGATTCTCCAGCAGAACAATGGGTGATTATCGAAGGGAAAGTGTTCCGAGACAAATCGAGAAATCGACAAACGAAAATTGATTTTCTAATGGCCACTTCGGCTGCTACTAAACGATAGCCTACCGTCGCTCGACCGCATCGAACGATTTTCATGTGTTCTCGTTTAATCAACGGTTATTATGCAAGGGATTGTAAAATATCGATAAAATATGCACCTGATATACTATCATAATAAAAACTATTCGTCGGCTCTCGAATATTCAACCATTTTTATACTCAAATTCACGTTTCAAGATATAAGTTTTCTGCAATTCACGTAATTATTTTTATAATGCAACACCAACTGCAAATTTCCTTTGATTAACTCTTTATGAACGAATTAATATGGATTTATATAATTGTTACTTCTCTGTTTCAAGGCATTTAAGAGTTTTAAATATATATATATATATTTTTTTTAATAAGAAAATGTTCGTTTTGTGCAATATTTAGTTAAATTAAAGATTAGATATATATTGTGATAACAAAGAAGTATATAAACAATGAGATTTGATCCTGAAATAAAAGTAGCCTTACACGCTCACTGTTACAAGCGTAAAAAATCTTGAGACGAGTGGAATATACGCGGCATACAGGCAAAATGCCATAATTCTGAAATATGAACTCTCGTAGAGGGTACTTTCACAGATCGGCGCACCCCTTCAAAGTTTTACGCCGTCGTTCTTTCACCGTGATTATCCTAAATAAGTGATTCCGCGTCATAAAAGAATCTACCGTAAATGTGATACAAGTGTTGTGAAACACACAAAGTTTCGTCTCTAAACCGCACGACTTCTGATACAACGTAAACAAAAACAAATGGGACTAACAGAGAACTTTGCTTATTTTTACGCGGATCCTGGTGACCCGATGTCCCGCTTTTCCCCAGAGAGTCTCGCTATTTTATCCTTAGTTACCCGGCTTTTCCCGTGTGCTATCCGGAACGTCGATTTATTCTTTGGCCAAATTGTCCCCGTTTATCCCGGTTTAGAGGATTTTTAAAATATTTTTGGCAAAAAGAAAGGCCTTTTCAAAAAGATTCACAGCTCTGGCAGACATAGTGGCTTTGTCTTCTTAATGTTAAGTAAGAATAACAATAGTCTTTTATCCTAACAATAATTTCTATTTTGCTGTACCTAGTAGGCCTTTATTGTTAAATAATTTTTCATACGTCTATAAACAAAATATATTATTTTATATGTGTATATATACAATTTTCAATTATCTCTCCCCTCCCCCATTCACACATGAAGTGTTCTGAATTTGAAGTTGGGAAATCTAGTCACCTCAAGTCTGGGTCTGTCGTAGCTGCTAATGGGATTTGACTAAATTGACAAATTATTGATTTAGCTAAATCTAAAGAAGAGCAAGATTGAAGGATCGAAATGTCTGGTGGATAAAACTTCCTAATTTGACATTCTTCTTTGAAACATTGAAAAAATATACTAAAAGGAGAAGTAGATTGTATGAAGGAAAGGATCATTTTCACTTTATTACAATGGTCAGATGAGGAAAATTAACTTCTCAAGCGATTTGTTGTTTCCAGCAACGGATTTTCAATGGCCAATCATTCCTCTATCGATTAGCATGCGATTCATTACTAGCCACGGAATATCCAACATGGGCGGCAGTCTTCTCCAGACGCGCAAAGCTAAAAATGATTTTAAGTTGTTGATCGTCGTCACAGCCGTATTGATTTGGAGACTTTTGAATGTGTATTTTTTCGCTCATGACGTCATCAATGAAGAGTTTCGCGGCGAGAAACCTTAAGAAGCCCAGATGCTTTCGAACCACCGATGCTCAAGCGATCGAACGTTTGTTGCGACGGTTGCTGCAATGCAACAAAAGACACCCGACCGACCGTTCGATCCCTCCCAGTTCGCACTGCGCCCGTTGATCGTTGAATGGAAATTGATTCATGGAACACGCTATCTCGGCGAAATCAGCTAATTATTTCGAATGCGCATTCCCGATCGGTAGTCCCGAATTGAAATCCGGGTGCCGCGTTTTTGGTGGCCTTACGACGCGGGGAGATCACCGGATGCCGAGACTAATTGGAACCCTTAGCGAGCGGTGAGGAACGTATACAAAGGACAATTCCCAAGTAGGATCGAGCATGGCGCATGCTGCCGTGTTGTAAGTCCCCGAGTTGATGCGTAGAGAATCCTGGCGCGGAGAACGGCGGAGGGCCGGGACGGGGCGGAAGGGGGGAGGAGGGAGTAGGAACAGGGCGAGAGGAGATGAGTGAAGGGCGATTCCGACGACGAATTTGAAATTCAGAACTCGGCGACTCTCTGCCAAGACGACGTGGCCTTTTGTCTCGACGGGATCTCCGCTCGCTGTTCGGTACAGAAGCCGTTCACCTCCGCTCTACAAATCTGTCAATTGTCTCGAGACAAATCTCGAGGAATATAACCGATATATTCCGATACCGGGCTCCCCACGTGCTCCTTCCTGCCTCGCGTTGACTCAACGCGTTCTGGGTTATCCTGGACGTGTCGCGGAAGTGTAAGCAACATTCTCTGTACCGAACTTTCGGGTATCTAAAGCGTTTATGCTTATTTACTTGAACATTCGTATTTTCTCTCGACTACTCTCGACTAAAGTTATAGTTAGTTTTGGCCGCATCTATGTTTTTTGTAGTAAGATGGTGGTAGTGACACGTATATAAAGTTTTTTTATTAACATTACAGTAGAATTCAATAAATAATAGTTTTCCTTACTTAATTTATAGTTATTATTTCCCAATGTGATTACAGTTACAAATACCAAACTTTTTTCAAGATGGAAATTTCAGTTTACCTTAACAACGAATAAAAAATCGATTATCCCTTGAAATAATCGATTCAGAATAGGATAGGAAAGAATCGATTGAAATGTGTCGATTTCTTTAAGAAAAAATCAATCTTTTCAAAAATCTAACCGTAGTTCCTTATTTTAAATATAGAGTTCATATTTGGGATGAGAACTTGGGATTCCCAATTGATAGTGTAATGGGATAACCAATTTTGGGACAAATTTGGGCACTCTAATCGGAATCTATTTTGTATCAGAGAAAGTCTTGGGAAATTTCTATACGGATAATATTTCTTAACAAATAATCTCGACCACGTGTATAAATTCCCATAATCCAAACCTTGTAACTTTTCGTAACATTGTAACTTTTCGCTTCTTTCCACCCGACTTAGGATGTCGATACTTTAGAGCCAACAAATTGGTACTAATAAATTTCGGAGCTACCTGAAGGAATTAGCCTGCCTCTGCGGAGCACGAGGACGTGCGACGAAGACTACGATGACGGCGACGACGATGACGACGAGACGGCTAACAAAATAACACCACGCTAACCACCGACGACGAGCCGTCGTATATTCCTCAACGCGCAATTAACCGACGCCGCGGTGCGCCTTTTTCTAAACGACGAGTGAAGAACAGCGGGACCCGGCGAGAGAGCGACGCCTTCCCCTTCGTGCGAGCGCAGGCGTTACGATCGGCGCTCTTATGCGAGCGGTAGTCGCGGGGCCCGGCCGTGTAGAAACAATTCGCGGCCGGAATTTTGCGGTCGGCCGGCAAAAAAGTAATGAGGCCAGTTTGCGGCGCCGTTCCGACGGAAAAATTATGAATTGCGCGCCCTAAAAAGATGCGTTTGCCTTCGCCGGCCTATTCCGTCCGCTCGAGGCCGGCAAAAACGGGACATTGCGGTCTCGAGGCCCTTTCCGTGGCTGGCCTACCGGATCCCCGCGGAACACCTTCGCGGTAGGACTATCTGTCCGTCAGTTTGTACATACGAGAGTAATGTTCGCCGCTGTTTCCCCGCGGACGACATGCACTTCGACTGAGACGGCGCTCTTCTTTTTTTCCGCTTCCAGAGAACGGCGAGCCGGCCAAGATCAAGTGCAACCTGAGGAAGCACAAGCCCAACCGTAAGCCCAGGACGCCCTTCACGACCAATCAGTTGCTGGCCCTCGAGAAGAAGTTCCGGGAGAGACAGTACTTGAGTGTCGCCGAGAGGGCGGAGTTCTCGTCGTCGTTGAGCCTCACGGAGACACAGGTAAACATCGAGCTACCTGGCGTCCTTACTCGCCGAGCGCGAACAAATCCACCGAATGCTAATTCCTCGCGCACTCACGCGCCCGATTATCCTTAACGATGCTATTTATACCGTGCGCGATACGCCGGCGATATTTCACAAGACGCCATATGAATATAAATATTCATGAAATAAACTATGAGAGGAAAGCGGAGATGGCCCGCTTGTTATACTAATTGGTCAATTCCGCCAATTTCTTGAATCTTCTTTATGAGAAACTATGCTATTTTGCGATCTCGCGCGGACCTCTTCCTCTGACTCTTCAGCTTTCTAATTAACTCGTGCAACTCATTTATTCCACAGAAAGATCTGACAAATGTAAAAAAATATTTTATTAAATCCAGTCGAATTTAATATATTTCCCTCAGGATTATAAATTCTTCGCTCGTTATGCAGTCAAATCAGCACATTAGTATTCGATCTGCGGTTAGAATTGTAATTTGCCCGAAAGAGTTACGGCAGTCAATCTCGCGTCTTTGACATCCGCTAAAAGCTTAAAGTGAATTTATAAAGAAAAAAAGTAAACTGGTCTCTTCCTCTCAAATAAAGTGAAGTTAAACATATGTTTTTATAATCATATTTTTAAATATAGCTTTAATTTTATGCAAGGTAAAAAGAAGTGAAAAATATGTGAACGAGATATTAACATGAGTGAAGAGATGCGCTAAAGAGTTCCGTGTTTATGATGGAATAAATACTATCACTTATAATTAATGAAATTAGCCAAAGGTTTTTTTTTAACAATCATGAAAAAAATGACCTAAATATTTTTTGTACTACTACATTTGTGTCAAATTAGAAAGAAATCGGAGTGTACCTTTTGGATAGGTTTACTTGTAAATGAAAATCTTTTAATAAAATACTATTAACGCTTTTAACGGGTTATTCAGAAATTCTGAATTCAAGATGTACAGTTTGCTTTACTAAATATACAGCAGCATGTGTGTGCAGCCAAATCGCAAATTGCAAATTTTTAAAAATTTAGTCTTCCAAATTGCGTTCTGGTGGTCCTATGATGTTCTTATATGTCGCTATATCTCATTTTATATATACAGACTCTGAATTTGTTACATATAGTGAAAATATAGGTCAGATACGGATGCCATATAAAATGATACTTATAAAACTTTTTTTCGCAAAACCTAGATGTCAGCGAGATGTATTAACTTACGCGCATTCACGCTGTACAAGCATATGCAAGTCTGCGAAGCTAAATAGGAAAAATCTGCAAACTACGAAATCTGATAACGAGTCCGACAATCCCTTAAACCGGCAACATATTTCTCGGCATTTTTATTTCGTCGAGGCCGGGTGCTATTGACGAGTCAAAACAGTCGGTGCGTGTCTCTCGAGACTTGGTTTTAGCTGGATTGCGCGCGCCACCGCTGCCAGATGCGTGGTAATTAGCGCACGTAAATGCGCGCTGCCCGAGCCGGCAATACAAGGCAAGGGGGAACGGTAATTTTATTAATAGTCTACAAATTGGCTGAAACGCGTTCCACGATAGCACGCGATGACCGACCAATTATCTCCGGCTGAGATCCCAACTCTGGCAGCGATTTCCGAAACGCATTTCGCGTGTCTCTGCGCAAACGAAGAAACGAGTGGACGTAACGACGATCGCGAGTTGCGCAGTCTCGTTTCCCGACGACACGGCGGCATATCGATTATTCGATTAAGATAGACGTCGATAAAATTGCGGCGAAAAGCAACAATTTGTTTGCAGCCTGAGTCGCCGCCGCGATATCACGGCTTATTTATCAGATCCTGCACTGCACTCCGTCGCGATCGATTGTCGTCGAGACGCCCAAAATTGTGCCCTAGGAGTGACGCTTAAACGGAGCTCAATCTACTTACGGTTTACTTCGAGCACTTACTTTGAGTTTACTTTGCTTTATGCTTTTCCACGTTCACTCATTGTTCATACAATTTTAAAGTCTTTCTCAACAATATAAATAAATATGTTTTGAAGTTTTGAAGTTATTCACTCGAGTCGAAATTTTGGCTCAATGTTAAACCTTGAATTATATTAACAAGGCTAAGGAGCTATGTAGGAGTTAAGTTAGCAAAGTAAACTTAATTCTACTGATAGAATTTATTCCTACTTTGACTCTGATGATGTCCGAAATTTTTCACTTTCTTTAGCGTCAAAATAAGTGTTGAATGGAATAGCGAAGCTGAAAATAGAATTAAAATTTCGACTTGGGTAGTTTAAATAGAATCAAAAAGGGTTGGTGTAGGTTTCAAAGTATCGAAATAGTTGCTGAACAGAATAGTAAGGCTGAGAGTAGAATCAAAATTTCGACTCGGAAGAGTTCTATCTCGGGAAAAATCGGTCCACATCTAGTAAACTGTCTCAATCACTGAATACAATGCTGTCAAATTCCTGTTTAGTTCCTACACAATACTTTACAATTAATGAGAATATATTAATACCAAAAAATCACTTCAATAGGCATAATGTTAGTGGTATTGATAGTAATTGAAGGTAAAAAATTATTTGTTCCCACTACGGGATCATTTGCTGTTCTACATCAACAAATTCTTTGTTGCGGGTGTTTTGTTAAATTAGTAAAATTTTTTCTCTGAACTGCATACAATTTTGGGACAGATTTGGGCATTCCAATCGGAATCTATACTGTATTTAGGAGAATTTTGGAAAATTTCTATGCAAATAGGAGAGTCTGGGGCTAGTTGGCAAAATTTATAATTTCTATTGTTCTTAATTTCAGAATTAAGCAAGCAAGGATTTCAAAGCCACTCTTGACATGTTTAAAAATCTTGCTCGCTTAATTCTGTAATTTGTTAGAAAATAGCAGAAATAATCTGTTTTGCCAACTTAGCCTAGTAGACGCACTTCCTTATACGTGCACACGACGCGCGCAATCTCGGTCGTTTGGAAGCGGCCAATCCTCGACGTCATTATACCTCGAATGATCATTAAATCACGCCGACGCACTCGGCAAACCGTCGCGAAACCGTTACACCGTTACGCATTAGTCGTCGCGACCGAAACTCATCGCGCTAAATATTATACCGCTGTAAATCCGAAATGATTTATCGTTGCAGGTGAAGATCTGGTTTCAGAACCGACGCGCCAAGGCGAAGCGTTTGCAAGAAGCGGAAATCGAGAAGCTGAGGATGTCGGCCGTTAGGCAGCATCACACCGCGCTCTACGGCTCGCATCCGGGAATCTTGACACCCGCCGGTCTTTATCCCGTAGGAATGCTTTCTCATCCCGGCTTGACGCCTCATCACGCGATCGCCCAGCATCCCGCGAGAGAATGAGACTAGCAACGCACCACGGGGGCCGATGATACCGGTTAGGAACAGTTGGAACTATCTGTCATCGAATCGTAACGCGAGAAATGACTTGCGGGCTACAAAAAAAAAAAAAAAAAAAGAAACGACTGGACTCGAAAATCGGAAGATCACGGATCGTTATCGCGACGAGATGGAGAAACTTTAAAGAAGATCGGTCGTTGAAATGTCTTCGATCACGTGTCTCGAGACGATCTCACGGAGAAGGATCTCGTTGGCGACTTTATGTGCTGCAGTATTAGAAAGCGAGAGTTTTTTTTCGAGTCTGATAGCATTGCAACTTGCGTCTTAGCTCCACACAATAAACATAATACATTACTTCTAAACGCACAAGCGTGTAAGTTGGCTGAAGCTGTTTTTACATGTTTCTTGCGGTTTTAGATCGTGTTATTTAACACGTTTAGGACGTGTAAGTTGTAATTTAATACACTTGTTCAGAGTGACGTGACTTAAAACGATAAGAAACACGCAGAAGGAAATTTAGCCAAAGTAATACACTTGAATTTGCAATGTGTGCCAATGTCGACCACTGTCTTGAAGAGAGAGATCGGGAGTTTTTGTAAATATATTGTAAATATTGTCGATTCGCAGTTAATCGCTCTTGTATATAAACGACTAATGGACTATTGCGGAAATGGCGCGGCGTTAGTGTCGCAGCACGCAAATAATGAAACGAGTGAATCCCGACGAAATGGTCGGTCCTTTTTCCAATTTTGTATAAATGTAAAGAATAATCGTACGATACGATTAGGAGAGTTTATTTAATAAATTGTATTGTCGTAATTTTTTTAGCGAAATTCATTTGTTTCCTCGTTGCCCAACATTCCTTCTTCTCGTCCCGATTCAATGCAATAAATCATAACCTTAACTCTGCAATTCTGGATAAACTAGTACAAAAATCAAATTAAATTTATGCTAAAACATCTTAATATTTTATTCATTTAACGCATTCGTTACTACGGTTTATTTAGAGAACTCTTCTGACAGCCCGCGCTTCGTATTTTTTTTTATTTTACATAATTGTGTAAAACACAATTTTGATAATATGGACATAAAATAGATACTTTTGTCGTCACATATATTTTTTGTGACGCTGGTCTGTAGTGAGAGATCGTATCTACACATGTATGACGTTGGTAGCAAACGTGTTAATTCCTCGGCAACCTTGAAATAAATCCTGTATCAACAGAGATTATTATATATCGATGTTTCATTAATGTTTCATGTTACTATTTCAGCAAGTCCAACAAATGTCAACAAAACTAATTAAAAATTAAAATTGACTAAACATTGACAGCTGTATGATACATTGAGAAAAAATACTTGAAAATTGGTTCGTGGGATATAAAGTTTATTCGCACACAGAAATAAATTTTATCTCAAATATAAACATTACATCATGCAAATAAATTTTCAAGTATTCTTTGCTCCGTGTATCAAACATTTGAAGTTTAATTTTAGATCATATTTATATTTATGTGTGAGTAAATAAAACTCATAATCAGACGTTCCTTTAGAGCTCCGCCGAAGAATCGTCAACGAGAGAGCCGACAGCGAAACATCGCGCGTGTAATTGTGTGACGGAGACTATTCATCACGTTTTCCCAGCTGCAAATAATAATTTACCGTGATACAATGGGGTCGTGCTAGCCAGGGAGAACGTCTAAGTTTGAGCACCTATGTGAGGTTCCGTGCGCGGATTGCCGGCGCACGACGGCGATTACGCGAGCGCGATTACGCGGTATCCGAGAATGGCGTCTCTGTGCGTATATGTCGTTAGGATAAATTAGCCGTGGCAATTAGTTTCGGAATCAACCTCGCCGGGTGGTTGGCGCCACCATCTTGATTGCGACCGGGGAAGAACCTTTAAAGACAGTAGCCAGCACTGTTTGCCGAAAGACCCGCGCCGTTCGCGCGGGCTAATTAGCGATGCCCACCGAGATATCGCCGACGTACGCTAATAATACCGGACATAAATATTCCGAATTTTTTCGTCTGGTGGCCCGGCTGCCCCATCTAACCCCTTCTCAGATCCGAGCAGTCGCCCGCGATATATCATTTTTGCATTAGTTAATCGCACCTTTGTTTCTTGGGTTTGTGGGTGCCTCGAGCACTCACGGTTTCAGGAGTATTTCGGCAGATCAAGCATATACAAAATCAAACAGAGATCTTCGAAAATGGGAATTTATGAACATGGGATTCGACGCTGTAGCTAATACGGGTGTTAAAGGTCACACGCGTAAATACACAAAATGATAGGCGAATATGGAAGAAAGCTGATTTCTCAAACAACTGCTGGATTTTTTTCTCATAAACAATTATACCCACGGTTATTATATTTAACTCATAAACATAAATAAACATAAGAGAGCCATTAGAGAGCTCTTATCGGCCGTCAAAGGGATTTAGATCAGTGCACCGTTATTTATGGTATTAAAAGAAGTCGTTTTGTTATCTCTCTGTTAAAACTTTTCATAAGGTAAGAGTCAACAATCTTTTCCCTGCTCCAATCGACAAATCTAACATATCGTCCATAATGTGTCGATTAGTGGTAAAATTAAACTTCAAAATCCCAGAATTAGTTGCTTGAAAATATTTTTCCTATTTTGAGATTTATTGAGTTGTTTGGAAAATAGTGATGGATGGTAATATGAAACACATTGTTCCATATCAGAATTACTTTTTTTCAGGTGTCATTATGCCAAGAAAGAAATTGGAATAAAAAAGTACATCTTGTAAGTTCCTTACTTTGTTTTTGTGTACAGTGAATGTGAAAATAATGATTTTATTTACTTTTGTTTATAAACCTAAAAGTCTTCTACATAATTTAAATTACTGAACTTATACTTCTTTAAATTTTCATAAATATTGAAATATTTTTTTATTTTGATTTTTAAGTTATGATTTCAAAGAAATTCATTAAAAAGTATTGTTTTAATTTATAACTTTAAGATGATAAAGAGCTTTTGGCTTTTATTTTTCATTTTCTTTTCTTATATTACCGCCTTATTTTGCGAGGCCTATTTTATGCAATATGTTTAAAAACTTGTATGCACTTTGAAGAAGGAATTATAATCTTTTATTTATAACAGAATTTGCGCGTCATTCGTACAAATTAATACTTTTGAAATTGATACCACGATTGTCAACAACTTTCAACTTATCGTTCGCGAGGAGTTTATTATTATTTACAAAAATACACAACACGCAAACATGTAAATTTATAATTAATTTTATCTTATGATTCTCGTGACGCAAGCAATATCAAACATCGTATAGGAATATATCATCATCAGTCATTTACGACGTGTCACTAAACCGGTATTTATAGCGCGATAATTCTTTGTTCCGTGTGAGATCAAGCGAAATACAATAAAAAGATTCGAAAGAACTGTCTCCTCATATAAGCTTTACTCTGCTAGTTTCTTCGTACAACTACGATTTAAAACAGTCTTTTTAATTAAACTTGCGGCTCGCCTAGGAAGCTCATCGCAAGGAACCCGTGTTGGAATAATTTCCAGAAGTGAATGGTACGTGCCTGAATTTTAATCGCGCAATTAGTCGCTAGTCATTACTGCTGCCTACTTATACTCGGTTCGACCACTGCCTCGGGAAAGTCAGATAACGTCAGATCTTATCGCGTGAGAGTTACCGTATCGTTAGATAAATTTTACTACCCACTATGGAAATTGTATGGAGATCGTACACTTCGCGACCACTCTTTTTTAAAATAAGAGTTAGAGAAGAGTAAAAGTCAGAGAAAAGTAGAGTTAAAAAAAGATTCTTGCATCTACATCTCAAACTCACTTTAAGCATCAATGCAATTGTATTGTCAATTAGGTAACAATTATATTCGATAGCACTGGTTGGCACAAAAATCATATCCTTTATCTAAACCGTCAATTCTAATTAATCCTAGAACCATAAACATGAATGAAATTTACCCAGACCAGTTTCTCAAATGTCACCGTTTTTTAAAACACGTATTAAAATATGTTTTATTATTATAACATTTCCAACTTTATTGAGTCGCAAAAATATTAATACAATTGTATCCTTTGACGCTTTCTACCTTAATTAAAAATAAAAAGTAGTAAATTTCGATCATTTTTTCGGAAATTATGAGCAAAAGATTTTTCGCTCGGTAAAATCATATTACTTATGTTTAGGGATTACATAACTTTTTAATGTGTTTAAAGTTCTACCCTAATTTTTTATAGTGCTGATCACGAATATAACAATTAAAATTAAAACGTAAGTTTAATTTTCTTAATATAGTAAACAATAAACAATTCTTCAAGATCTCATGGAGAAAATATTATAGTAAAAATTATGTTAAAATTATTCTTCCTTTTCTAATGCTTTTTATAAAGCTGAATTATAATATAAAACATTACAGAAGTAGTAGATTTGATGATATATCTGATATATACAACATAAAAAATTTATGGAAGAAAATGGCAGAAAATTAGAAACAAGAGTTATTTATGTAACAAGAGTTATTAATTAAATAACATTAATATATTATCGCGAGCGATCATTCGCTAATTTCCTTTAATTAATCATTAAAAATCTATAAAATTATCAGGAAAATGGTAAATGACGTTAGAGGACTTTTCAAAACGATAGAGAACTTTTATGTCCACTTTAATATGTATTATCTCCACGAGAGCGCGCGCTTTGGAGATTGTTCTAGGACACCCTCTATATATTTCAAATCGATAATTAAGTATAAAGGTTACCTCTTGAAGTTCTGAATTATAAATTTTAATGAAAACTAAACGTGAAACATTGAATGTATTCGGAATGATGGTAATGCTTGTGCTTGAGAAGCGTGCCTTGATTATATTTGCGATTTTGTCGCTATTTCAATACACGTCCCGATTGCATTTCCTATGCTATCGAGTAATATGTTTTTCAAATAACGATGATTCTACACTTTCGATGCGCGCCTTATTTCCATGGTGGTATGTTTACGATTTTGATATCGAGCTAACTCAATGCGATCGAGTGGCGGGTCAAAATCTCCGTACGATTGACTTTAAAATAGAGATCGACTCACATTGTGAATTGCCCGCATAAAATTAGGTTTTCATGAGAAGCTCCATTAGTTTCTAATCGCGCATTTCCTACGAGTCACCTTCACACTTAAAATTTGTGTTGCATTGCAAAGTACTTAAGCTGCGAGTTCGCGCGTACGATGAACATCGCAATCAAGGCACGCACAATCGCGCGTCATCCCCCGAAGAACTTGCAAAATATAATTAACAACGTTATCCCGAGACTTCAAAATTTCCGATACGCGTAAATAATTTCACGCAAGTGTTGCATCATGTATCTGGTAACGAATTAACTTCAATGTCACGCGGGTTATTTACTCAAGTTATACTTTGCATAAATGATAATTTGACTCGTGATTTACACAATGAAATCATCGCCTCAATGTTATACGCGAAAAATAGCTTGAATGGATTGAATCGATGCAAATGCCATGTGATAACGCGATATCGACGCGATATCGACGTTTATATATAAATATTATATATAAATGTGCGACAGTATATCTTTAGCAGATTGACTGGATGTAGTTATGCAATAATGATACAATCCACATGAAGTTTCGAGAGAAATGTAGATGAAAACTGAATGCAATTAAAGAGTATAGATAACACCGAGGTTCTTCGCAATCGTCCATGAAGTCAAGCATGATCAAGTTTCTTCTCTTTAAGGATACTTATCTACAAGCTTTGCTCTTAAAGAAATAGATAAAAAAAGATGACATTGGTAAGAGAGAAATAGCGTAATTAATAGAAAATAAAAACTGTTTTTTAATTAATTTTAGGCGTACACAGCTAAAGAGCGTACAAGGCTCTTTTTATCTTTCTCTTTTTATATAGAAGGACATATAAACTGCTCATTGATAACAAGAACTCAAAAATTATAATTTTGTAGATTAGATCATTCTTATTACGAATTCGTGCGTATGACAAACATTACAATCAAGGCACGCACAATCGCGCTGCGTGTCATCCCCTGCAAAAAGCTTGCAAAATATAATCAACAACGTTATTTCGAGCGAGACTTGAAAATTATTGATATGCATAAATAATTTCACAGAAGTGTTGCATCATGTAACTATATAGCTCTATTAGCCAACTAGTCTCGCAATTCTCTCTCTCTTTCTCTCTTTCTCTTTCGCTCTCTGACCAATTCTATTTAAAATGCATCATCTAATGCATTAACACGTTTTCACCCGGAGACACGTGGACGCGCATCTCACAAGTCACTGATATATTCGCTTCGATATCATAAGAACCTGACGACCCACAGATGCAAGGGCCGTAAGATCGAATGCTCCGAGAGATTCCAAGCTATCTGTATTCCTTTCACGTGTTTACCTCGCTTCTTGAATGTTTATCGTTACTATCGCGCGTTAATTATACACATTTATTGCATATCACATTTTCTCTCACGGCTATCTGACAGATTTGATCCCTTCCTTACTTCATTGTAGTTCAATTTCAATGAGGAATCGTTATTTATATTCATTTCGGAACTACAGTGCAGAATAAATAATCGCGATACCGTAATCGGACACCGTGATCACTGAAAAATTGAATTAGTCTAACAAAGTAAAAATACAAATACCTTATACATAAATTCCTGATTTTTATTGTTTTGGTCTTGTTTTGGTTGCGGAGGCATTCCCGTGACAGTTTGCATGAAAGTGCCTCGCTGCTAACTCAGTCCGCTTTTGTTATTGAATAACAAACGACTACGGCCGGCAGTATGTGATCGCGATCCATCAATATTCTCGCATTGTGACGACGCGCTTTTATCGCGTTATTTAAATGCCGGACTCGTTTAAATACCGAGCCCGCCTACGTAACACAGTGGAACCGTCGCCGTCGTCATCGCCGCCGCCGCCGCCGCCGCCGCCGCTGTCGACCGTTAACTGTAATGATTTAATTAGCGTACCTTTCCGTAGAAAGCCGATTCGCCGGCAGCCGAGCGTATCTATCGCCGTTTGCGCGGCCTCGTGTTTTTCGATTCAATTATCGGTATTACGGCGCGATCCAAATTATCTGTTGTCGAATTAATGCTCGCGTCCTGCTTTTCGGAGACGGCGACTTGCGCGCGCGCACACACACACACACACAAATATACAGGGTGTTTCAGAAAAATCTTCGAAGTTCCCGTAAAGGTATAGTGCGGATTGAGATAAACATAAAAGTACCGTTTTGTGATATTCGCAATAATTCGATATATTAATTAAAAAAGATTTATGAATAATCACGCGAGAAATGAGTTGTAGTGGTGACGTCTGCCATCATATGCTTGTATATTAAATCAAACTGAACAAAAAAGTCCTCTACCATTTTCCTAATAACTTTTAGATTTTAATACATTTTTAATTATTAATTAAAGAAAGTTGGCGAATAGTCGCTCGTAATAATATATATATTAATGTTCTCTAATTAATAACTAAAATTCTACAAAGTTATTAAAAAAAGTACAGAGCTATTTTGTTCAGTTTGACATAATGTTAAAATACACAACGGCAGATGTCGCTACTACAATCCATCTACTATATCTCGCGTGACCATTCACAAATCTCCTTTAATCGATACCTCGATAATTATTGTGAATATCGCAAAACGGCATGGAAATCTTATGTTCGCCTTAATGCGTCTCCACGAGAACTTCGGAGGTTGTTCTGAGACACCCTGTATATGTTGAACACATACATAAACACATATATAAAATATATAAACACACACAAAGCAGAGTGAGCTGTAATGAGCGATTAACCCGGCGTTATGCAACGAAATTAATTATCTGCCGATATGTATAAATGCCTTCTACGAAGGGTGTATTAATGATCGAGATAAAGCCGCATGGCAGAAAACACGCGACCGTACAGATTGCAGATTATTTCGAACTATAATACCAATCGACCGGGCGAGTGTTAGATCGATGTGCCGTCGCCGAATGCGCTGACCGACGGATTGAAAATGCGAGAAGGGATCGGCAGGTTGCATCTACTTTCCTTCGAAAATAGACAACCATCTTCGAACGCCGAGTGTCTTCATTTTATTCCACGGGATCTTTTCATTTCTTAGACTTCAGGTTCGTTACATTTGCATGAATGCTCACATGGACTTTCATGGTCATAACGATATAAGACAATCGATGATGAAAACTATATTTGGCACCGAAAATAATATTAATTTTAATGAAATGAACGATCTCTTTCCCTCGGTGTGTGCACATGGAAATGTCATGAAGTCTTCGTTAATAAAAAAAATATGAAGATAGAGATATTATTCCCTTAAAGCTCAATATTGCAACTTTTGTATGAGTGTATTATCTAACAGTGTTGTCAGTTGTTACGAAACGCGTCGCAAAAACCGCAAGTGCCATTTGAGCAGATATAATCATAATATGGAAGCATGAAATCGCACAGTTCGCGTTTTAGACGCAGAACGAATTATGTGACACGGTGAACGCGCAAATAAATGTAATCTAGCACGCGATAAGGAACCTGAAGAATCGATCATTCGTTTCGAGCGTGGCAGAATTATACGTGAGTTCGATCAAAGGCGCTATAATATAAATAGCAAATTTGTATACGATAACGCTCGTTAATCTTTTCGTAATTTTAATTACATCTCATTCAAGATTACACACGTAAAAAATCTTGTTTGCCAGCCAGTCGCGTTATCAGCGCGACCGGTTCACGGTTATCGAATTGCAACATTTCATTCACGGTATTCCGTTTGTTCGTTCGTGTTTATGTCAAATATAAATATCTCGTATTTAACCTTAATTAAACGATGTATCCGCGCGCGAGATACTCACGGTATGATGCTGTTAGAAATAATAATTGGCCAGCACTCATCAATCGAGATATTTCTTTTCCGCTCTCTTTCGCAAACATTTCATATATTCAATTCTCCCGTAATTAATAATATTAGCTTCATAAATTTCCAATTATTCGTAAATCGCGATTGCGTCGAAAGCGAGCGACTTCGTGAATTAAGTATCGTGAACTTGAACTATTGTAATGGCGACCTAGCCCCGCTGAATGAATACAATGAGAATGCATATGCACGAGGTGTTATGCAATGCAAATAATCGGACTCGCCTCTAAGGAATCAACATTATTTGTCGCCTCTCAGCGCAATAAGATGCTAATTAAGAGAAAATAAGTCACCCTGTAGAATCATATTTGCAGAAACGAGAATAACACGAGCGAAAACTTACTGACATTTCAATGAAAATACACTTAACGAAATTCGATTTCTAACTTGTAATTATTTATTGGAAACTATCGTCGTGTGAGTGTTTTACAATTTTGATTTTCGGTCACGTCGGTCGGAACATTTTACTTGGTAATCTGAGAGATTTCGTGAACATTTCCTCCCGATACGACGAATACCAAATCAATGCAGAAGCAGACGTAAACTTGGGAACTGGAACTAATCGAGACTCAAGGGTTCAGGAAGCGCATTGAAATGTTTTCACGTCATCTTCCTCTGGAGAAAGTTATTCTAACGAAGCGAGCGTACGCCACCTTGTTTCGATAACCGTTGAATTTTATGACGGGATCACGCAAATAACCGGTTCGTGGACTTTCGCCGTTAACATCGACACCGTTTCTTTCTCTCTCGACTAGAAAAATACACGGGTTCACCTTAATTATCTTAATTTCAGGTTAACATTATCGCCGGGAATCTCTTTGGCGGGACGAATAAAATATATCTCCTCACCCACACAGCCACGCGAGCGGCTTCGTGTCGCGCGTGCACGCACGCACACACACACACACACACACGCACGCGCATCGCAATACCATCGCGGGGTTAATGCCCGCGCAATTAAGCCTGATGGAATATTGCAGGCGCAATGAATCACTAGTGACATTATGTGCAACACATACGCGCGTGCTCGTCGCCAGCCGAAAAATCGCAGCGCGGAGCAAGAAGCGTGATCATAATGCCGGGTTCACGCAACGTCAACGTTAAACGTTCTGGATAATAGCGGACTCATTTATCAGCTGCCGACAGTTTAATCGCCGGGTCTGAATTAACGTTAACTTCAACATGCTATCGAATCGATCTTAACGTTAATTAATATCTCCGTGACAGTGGGAGAAAGAAACGGAAAAAGAGGCATCGCGGCCGAGCCGGTGAAACCTGGCGGCGAGCCGGTGTTAGTTAATCCTAAACCGGTTACAAACGCGTTGGTCATCGCGGTATCTTTGACTTACTAATTGGATGGATAAGAGACAAATATATCTCGGGGAGCGGAGATCGTGTGAATCAATTTATGAGGGACCGCGGGACACATACGAAAATTATTTATATTTTAATTGCGTTGCCTGTGATATTGTCGATCAGGTTATTTGTGGCTTGTTGCACAATATCTTCTGTATATCTTCTGTGTATCTTCTGAAGCATTCGACCATGTGAAATTATTACTAGTTTCTTCAAAGTCATGACCTCACGTCGCTGGTAAAGTCGTTTCAACTTTAATATTTAGTAGCTAATTTATATTATATGAGAAAGAGATATACAGGGTGTCCCAGAGCAACCTCCAAAGCCTCTTGCAGAGGCACAGTAAGGTGAACATAAAAGTTCTACACCGTTTCGCGATATTTGAAATAATTATCGAGATATTAATTAAAGAATAAATAAAGAAGAAAAACGGAATGCGTAATTTGTCGAATCTCTCCTTAGAGTTTCTCAAAAGTTAATTTAATGTATGATAAAAGATGCGAGATACAGAGATCGTTATAAATACATGAATCGCAACCGCACACTTTACACTGTACGACTGCTCAGACATCCCGAAATACAGTCCTGGTAGGAGGGGAAAGAGAAGGGGAGGAAGCAGGCACTATTATCGTGAACTTTTACGCGCTTCGATTATCCCGCTCTCGTCATTAACCCGAAAATGAGACACTCCGGGAAGCCGTTGCGCCCACCGCGGCGGCCGCGAGTCACTATCGTGCCATTTATGTGACATAATGTCGCACCGTAATTTCGCGCAATTTATTTGACGGCGGAGACATTTGCTGAATTGTCGTTCGTCGCCACTTAAGTGAGCGCAAAGTGGTGGCCCGTGTAGCTGACCGTAGGTGGCCCGTAACATAATACGAAAACACGGCTGTGTCGTAAACTTTCTATTATTATTGTTTTCCGTGGGGCTTCCTTATCGCGCATTCTGCAAAACGCCCCCTACTCGATCACCGAATATTTCGTACGCTGATGTCTTTCACCTCCGCCGCGTGTCGTTTAGATAATCGTGAGTGCCAACGCGAGGTTATTGGATTAGATCGGAAATTATGTTAGGCCGCCGAGACGATAAAGTGGTGCGGTTCAGTTTCCCCAGATAGACAGGGGTGTATTTGGCAGTAACTTTATAACTCGATTTGATCGCATCCTTTGTGCGAATGGTCAGTACGACGCACATATTTATCACGTAGAATAACGAAGTGGAGATAGAGGAGACTATATTTTAGAATTTCCAAGTTCTTTCAGGTGACTAATTGTTGAGACTGACTGTATAAGTATGATAGAGGCAACCTTTCTACGTATTAATGCCTGTCACGATTTTGTTAACGGTATATTTTGTAATAATCAAGATATCAACATGCAGCAACGTGGCCATCTTCTATCGGATTCAGTTGTCCAGTGGGGTAAAAAAGACCACATATAAAATATGTATCCTGATTACTAGTTGTGTGGTCTCCACAGCCCTCCTGCTGGTCCTTAATTATGAGCCAACTTTACTTTCATATCCATTCAAGCACTATTTCAATCATTGTATAA